CTGTCAATTCATCTAAGTAACTTATTTTGTTTCTTTGTGTATATATATCTAACTAATGTGGGTCTATATATTTTCATGTTTGTGTAAATGTTGGCATGTATCAGTTATACAAAATTTTTTCTTTTATTTTCTTGAGTGTGGATGAATAACCCTTGCAATTTGTGTAGGCATATGTCAAAGTATTTTATTTTCTTAAATTTCCTTTGTTGAATTTTCTTTATATTTTCAGCCTGAAACTACTCCTGGAACCAGATATTTCTTTGCTCTGTTCCTTGGAGTAACTAACATTTAAAGGGTTTATTTTCATGTCTCCTTTTTGCTAGAATCATTGTATATTTAACTTTAAGTGCACATTTTGCCAAAAGATATGTGGTCTCCTTTTCCTTATTAGGATTTTAAAAAGTCATCTTTTTAGGAAAACCATTTGTTATTTTGATATATGAAGTTATTGATTAGAATATGAGTAAGATTAATGAGACTTTTTTTTTCTTTTCCTTTTTGTCTTTTTTACTGACCGGTAACGGGATCGCAACCCTCGGTGTCACGCCCGTACCGGGGACCGGCAACGGGATCGCAACCCTCGGTGTTGCGTCCGCACCGCGCTCAGCCAGTGAGTGGGAACCGGTCTCCACATGGGATCCGAACCCTCAGCGGGAGCGCCGCCACGCTCCGAAGCGGCGCACTCTCCAGTGCACCACCGGGCCGGCCCTTAATGAGACTTTTTTAGTTTTTATGTCCTTTGCCTCCTTAGACTTGCTTAGTATGCAGACATTTTCAGTATAGTTTTATTTTTATTTTTCAAGTGATATTTCACTGGGTAGCCTATGTTTGATAAAGTAATCAACTGTCATTGCTCAGCAAAAATATGATATAAAGGTAAATAGTCAAATAATCCTCCTAAATTTTCTTATTAGTCTTCATTTACATATTATAGAAAGCATGCAGTTTCCACGTTACCATCCTCCACCTGTTCACTTCTAAAGGATCATTCTCACTTGAAAGTGTTAAATTTGATCATCCCGGTATACTATTATGATTGCCTTAAGTTATTGGAAGAAGACCTATGTTAATTAAAAAATTAAATGTAGTGTAATTAAATTGATTTCTTTTTTTAAAACTTATAAAATAAATTTTTAATACAGAAGTTTACATTTAGTATATATTTAATATTATATATAGTACTGTTTCAGGATACATAGTGTCATGCTGTCTATATCCTTTCATAAGTTGAGTTTTTAAGTTAAATATAATGATTGTGAGATTTACCCACTCTATTTTGTATTCTTGAAATCAAATCTGCAATGAATATCTGAAAGTGTCACATAGCACATAGAATGTGAATTGCTGAGTTGTAGGATGTGTTTATCCTCAGCTTTGGTTGGTATTGTGAAATTGTTTTTCCAAGTTGTTGTACTGATTTATCATAGTATATGAGTACCCATTTCCCAACAGTCTTGCAGGCATTTCTTATGTGATTTTTGTTTTTTTCTTGGCAGCTGGCCAGTACATGCGGTATTATGTGATTTTTTTTTTTTAACTGATTCTGTGTAAAGTAACATCTCAGTGTTGTTTAAATTTCCATTTCTCTGATTATTAGTGGAGTTGAGTAGCTTTCATATGTTTATTGGCTATATGGGTATTTCCTTTTGGGAACCACCCATTCACATCTTTTGTCTAGTTTTTGGAGTAGTCTTTTTCTCATTGATTTGGTTTCTTTTCTTTAAATTTCTTTCATTGAATTTTCATGGATTTGTTTTCATGGATTCTGCATACTAATCCATTGTGAGTTATAAGGATTGCAGAATATCCTCCTTTTAGTTTTCCTTTTTGTTTGTACTTTTAGACCTTTAAGCCCCTTAATTTTCTATTTTTCAGTAGTCTGTTATTTATTTATTTATTTTTTTGTGGTGGCTGGCCGTTATGGGGATACAAACCCTTGACCTTGGTGTTATAACACCATACTCTAACCAACTGAGCTAACTGGCCAGCACAGATTTTTAAAAAATCAAATAGATATCTTAATATTCCTATACCCATCTATGAATAGTCTATATGTTTTTCTACTGTTGGTAATACTCTCTCTGCTACTTACTAAGTGTAAGTAGCATTATGTGTCCCTTATGTGTCTGTTTCTAGACTCTCAACTCTATTTCATTGGTCTCTTAGTCTAACCCTGTACTAGTACCCCTTTATTTTCATTATAGTAAACCTGGAAACTTGGGTTAACCATCTGTGCCCCATACTTTCTTGAAAACTTTGTTATTCATGACTCTCTTTTCATGTATATTACATAATTATCATGAGGAGTTCATGAAAACCTTGTTAGGATATTTATTTTTGTTGCATTGGAATTATAGATTAATTTGCAGAGAATTGACTTCTGTGAGTCTTCTCATCAATAACTGTGTTGCCTTCATTTTTTCACTTCTACTGCTTTCTTTTTTGTGGATCTGAGTTTCTGTACTTTATTTCATTTTTCTTCTCTCTGGAGAACTTCTTTTTAACATTTCTTGCGTGGCAGGTATACTGGTGAAGAACATCTTCAATTTTAGTTTGTGTGAGAAAGTCTTTATTTCTCTTTTACTTGTGAGGGATAATTTCACTGTGTGCAGAGTTTTAGATTAGTGTTCTGGTTTTTTTTTCTCTTAATACTTTAAATATTTTACATCACATGATGAACAAGTGAAGTGAACTGAGGTAAATGTGCCTTTAGTGTAAGGTTTTATGTTTATTAAAGGCTAGGAGCTAAGCTGTGTTTACTTTTTGTGGTCACTGTAGGATTCAGAGGCTAAAATTTCCTCTAGAGTCCTTAATTTAGTCTCTCCTGTCATTTTTTGGGTCTCCCCAAGAACTCCTTCGTAAATAAAGTCTGTGTCTTATAGTTTCCTCAGTTGTAATTCTGTGTTATTATATAGGATCTTTGTTGATGTTGTGGTGAGGTGTCGGGGGGAAGGGAAATGTTCTTTAGACCCGTGATTAGATCTTACTCTTTTAGTAAGCCTGTGCTCCTGGGCTGTGACCTTTACAAGTGCTTCTCAGACAGAAAGCCTAGAGGGGGCTGGAGTTGAGTATTTCCCTTCCCCCAGGTAGGTTAAATTCTGGCAAAACCCCAGTAGGTTAGGTTATGGTATAGTAGTTTCCTTTAAGTCCAGGTCTTTGTTAAGGAGAAATGAACACTATGGGCATATTTCAAAGTAGTTAATTTTTCCCTCTCCCTGCCAGAAGCACAAGGGAATTTCTACCTGATCTTCACCTTTAGAATTTGGTGGGGCTCCTGGGGGTAAAACTCCTGGAAGCAGGAGCTGGGGAATCCCCTAAGACTGGGACTTCAGGAATTTTTGTCTCTTAAGCTAATCTGTGATCAGTCTCCAAAATTTGGTCAATTACCCTTTAAGTTTTAGTACCAGTTTCTGGCTCTACTGATAGTATCTGCTTTTGGTAAGCTCTGATTCTATGTGTTTGCCTGTCTGTCCAGTTTTGGGGATGGTGGTTTGCCCTGTGACTTCAGTTCTCTGATACAATCTAAAAAAAGTTGTTGATTTTCTGTTTGTTCACCTTTTTTTTGTTGTTGTGGAAATACTTGTGACAATTTTCAACCTCTTTATATGTTGGACTGGAACCCTGAAGTCTATCAATGGCTGTGGTACCTGTAAATATTGTGAGAGTTTGTGTGTATATGTATTTTTTCTGTAAAGGTCATGATACCATAGGTACCTTAGGATTTTATTGCTTTTGTAAAGATATATTTTACCAATTATATTATTTAATTGTCTGTTGTAGGTGCATAGGAATAGTATGGATTTTTGTGTATTCATCTTCTGTCTGACGATCTTGCTTTTTTGACTATGCTTAATGTTGTCTTTTGAATTTCTTGAGATGGACACTTATATAATCTATTTCATGTTCTTCATCTCTCCATACGCTCTTTTAAACCTTTAAGATAGGTGTTGGTCATGTTGATAGTGGGATATTATTACTTTTCTTTGCATAGATTTTGCTTTTGACAAGACTAGATGTTTGGAGTTCTCAAAATACCTTGGTAGAGAATGATATCTGTGCTTTGAGTGATGTGACATCGATTATTGGAAGAGGATGAATGAAATATCCCTGGTTTTAGGGTCCCTGTACAAATGTCTATATATAACATTACGTCTAAACCTATTGTGTGAAATGAAGATACAACAGATTAATATGGATAGGCCACCAGCCATATAGAGAGATCCTTACCTGTGCAATGCATCGTTTCATTGGTTTGCACAGCAAGATTTCATGTGGCTGTGCATAGCTTCTTCTGTCCTTTTATCAGTATAGAGTGAACAAGTACTCAAACAGTAGGAATTTTATTTTCACTGAAATAGCTTATCAAATTGGACAGTAGCTTTCAAAACTAGACAGTAGCTTTCAAAATTAGATTTGTCCATCCTTCATTGGCATTTTGGAGGGAAAATAACTTATTTTGGGTTTCAAACCATATTTGATTGTGCTCTGTCTGATAAAATTGGGAAATCATGGGAGTGGTTTGTATAGTGAATTTACATCTTCTGAGTCTATTTCTAAAAATAACCTAGATTAACTTGTCGTGGTATTTTGATGTATTTGACAAAATGTGGGGATTGTGTCTCTTTTTCCCCCCCAACATTTTGATTGTTGTTTAGCTTAAACTTAAGTAATGATCACCAGCTTATACTTATACATATTTATTTGATGGTTTAATGCTAACCTATGACATTATACTCTAAAGTTCCTTTTATAAACTCTGAAGTTTTTGAGAAATTACTGTTCTGATTTTCACAATGTCATTTTGACCTGAGGACTTTTTCAGAGTTAAATGAGTTTGGTGGTTTATTAAGTGTCATGAAGAGTTTAAATCCAGGATAAATTTAGCTGTTTTTTTTCACTCCTTTGATTAGTGATTCTGTTCATGAAAAAAGCACAGATAGTGGTTGATACCATTTTGTGTTTACAGAGATTTGAACCAAGTCTTTCATATCCTCTCTTAGGTTATTGATTATATCCTGCCACCCTTGGTCTCCTTGGTTCAAAGCCAAAATGGTAAGTTGTGACCACATCAGCAAGAATTCCATCAGTTACACATTTTGTTTTCATTCTATCTCCATGTAGTCACATTCTTGGCATTATTTTTTTCAAGTGGAGTGGAGACTCTTCAGCTTGCGGTTGCTCTCAGAAACTACATCTTTACTTGTGAACCAGGAGATTGGGGATGGCGACCAGGAGATGAATGTCGATTCTGAAAGCAATCTTGTGGCTCTCATTAGAGACACCTTACTTCCCCAGTAAGTATCCGCTGCTGCTCATCACGCAGAGAAGTGTATGATGTCCAGGAAGCTTCTGACAAACTAGGTCCAGTGATGGGGCCAGGGATCTCGATGGCCTTATATTTATGAACATGTGCTTGTGTACTCACTATAAAAGAGTTGTAGAAACAGAGGTGGCAACTTACACTGCAGAAGACTCAGAAGAATCTTGATTCATCTTCAAAAACATCCATTTGTAGCTTAATCTGTTTTCTGCCAGGAACATGTCTCTGAAGTTATGCAAATTTAAAAGTGTTTATGGTTCAGGGGGTGAGGTTTATGATTCAAGATCAGTATTACAAGACTGCTGGAACATGAAATTGAGACTTTTCCTGGTTCTGCTCAGGAATAATAGAAATGGAAGGAAGTTTTTTATTTCTCCAAACTCTTGGAATGGAAATTAGTTTTAGCTACAAACAGGATATTTTAGGGGGGGTGTGGGAGGAACAGGTAATGAGTATAGTTAACAGAAAGGGATTATTTTTTCCTTCTACTCCTTTGCTCACATAGCACACACACAGCAGGATAAGTACTGAGAGCTCTTAATGCAAACATGCACAACTCTAAAATGACACCTTGTAGTTCAGGGAATACTGTGAATTTTATTAAACAAAGTAATTTAAATTAAAAAAAAGTGTATGCTATATATCACCATTAAAGAAGATTTTTGCAAAACTAAATAAATGCTGTATCATGTATCATGTATTAATATGCATGTCTGATCTTGATCAAGGCCTAGGCTGCAGTCCACATCAATTCTCTGTAGGTTTTCAAGAATGGCAGCTTTACCTAGGGAAAGGTTATTTGTTCAACTTCTAAAGATCTACTGTTCTCATAAAAAAAATTATCACAACATAGAAACCAGATATAATTACATCCTGATTTTGACTGTTAAGAGTATAAACTCTTTTATATGACATTAGGTCCACATTTAAAAAAAGAACAATACAACTAAAATTGCCTGCTGCTAAAGATAAATCACTCAAACACTCCTAGTTGTTAAAGAAGATGTATTTGACAAAGTGTGTAGCTATTGTATGTCAACCCTTCTGCTGGCTGAGGGAGCCTGTCTTGACTGATTGGAGCTTGATCTGAAATGGCTTGATTTATAGGGCCAGTCTGTTTCTTTTTCCTTTTCAACACTTTTAGAGTAGGTTTCAGGGAGATCCCAGATAATGAATGTGTACAGTAAGTACCTTTGATACCCAAAGTAAGAAAATGGTTATGTATATGAGAAAAAAATTTTGAACTTTGTCATGTGGAGCTTTCTCAGTGGTAAACTATAAATAAATATATTTTCAGTTTCACTTGTTATATATGAGTGTGTGCAAATCATCTATACTGTACATGGGTTAAACAAAAGATTACAACCTACTCTAATGGGATTAATTAGTGCTTTCAGTGCCTTCTTACACTTCTAAAACTATATATAGTCATATGTCTCTTTCTAGCAAGAAAATGCCTAAAAATTTGCACAAAATATGATTTTTAAAGGATGTACTTTGGATATTTGTTATCTGAAGACTTATAGAGAGGCATTTTTCAGGACCTAAGATGTTCCCCCACACAGTTTAGCAATAGCTTGTTAGTGGCTCTGTAGATGTGAAATAAAATTTCTTTACATCTGAGGTCTGCTCAGTTTTGGAACATTTTGTAAAATAAGAACTCTAATTCAGTGCTCCTGTGTTATTCATTTGAACTGGAATAAATAATATGTATTTCTTTTAATGTACATCTTTATCTTTTCTAGAGATGAGGAATTAAAGAGAAAAATACAAATGTAAACCATATGGCAATTTAAGATCATAAATAATGTAAATGAGTTCAAGTTTTTATTAAACAACTTGAAATGTACTTCAGATAGTAGTATGGAATTTATTGGGATGTGGTGTGGGATGTTTTTAAAGCTTGTGGACTGATTCCAATGTGAAGGGCAGGTCTGTGCTCTGCATTTTCATCTCTAAGCCTTAGTTTCTTCATCTGTAGAATGGGGATAATGACACCTACCTGAGGAGATAATTGTGCAGGTTAAATAGGGTACTTCATGTAAAACACTTAGTACAGTGTGTGGGACATAGTACACTCTTGACAAATGTTTAGCACCACTACTATTATTATTAGGCTCATTATTTTAATCTCTCTTATTAATCATTAAAATGAAGACTGTAATTGTACAATAATAGTAATAGTACCTGTGAACTGAAGTGGCCATTAAAATAGATAATGCTTATTGTGCCTCCCTGACATATATAGTAATGGTTCAATAAATGTTATGTAAAATATTTAAAAATAAAAGGTGAGTAATGCATTTATTTAACTTTCTTGACTCCGAAGACTAAAACCTTAGCAAGCAGTTTGGTCTTTGAAGACAGCTCTTGGTAATTTTAAGTTTAGAAATGCTAGTAATGAAAAATTCATGTTTGTCAGTGAGTATGTAAATATAATGGCTTAAGAATTATGAAATTTCTAGAGTTCATAGGAGCTAAATAACACCCATGTCAATTTGGCAAGTACACCTATTGTTGTTGATACTTTTAGTTTTGTTAAAGCTTTAATCATCCTTTGACCTTAAACAATACTTTGGATAAAGCGAAGGTGACAGTCTTTTCAGGTACATGCGTAGTAGGCTTTCCAGTTTTCATACAAAGGTATTAGTCATGACTATTTTATTTGCAAATAATAATACCCAATTCAAAATAATCTATTTGCTCACATAAACAAGAAGTCAAAGACTTGTGTTGGCATCAAATATAGCTGGATTCAGGGTTATGATTTATGTCTACAATACTCTGTATATGTGTCTTTCTCTCCATCTTGCTACTCTGCCTACGTGTACATGCCTTTGTGCCCAGAATTGCTTCTTTCACTTGGTGGGTGGGTAGCTTCTGGGGGTGGGAGATTCTAGAGAAAGAGTGCATGTTTTTTCTAGTAGCTCTGGCAAAATTCTCAGGGAGGACAACAATGTAATACTTGTGTTCCAGGTGCTTCTCAGAATTGCTGTGTAATATGATGAAAGCTCAGTTGTAAGAATAAACATTTATACTAGGGTTCTCCAGAGAAACAGAACCAGTAGGGTGTGTATGTGGGTGTGTGTGTATGTGTATAAAATAAAGAGATTAATTGTAAGGAATTGGCTCATATGATTATGGAGGCTAAGTCCTATAGTTTGCAGGTTGTAAGCTGGAGACCCAGGAAAGCCAATGTAGTTCCTGTCCAAAAGCTGGCAGGTTTGAGACTGAAGAAGAAGAGCAAGTGTTTCAGTTCCAGTTTGAAGGCAGGGAAAAGACCTATGTTCCAGCTCAAGGCAGCCAGGCCAAGGAGTTTCCTCTTATTCAGCCTTCTTGCTCTGTTCAGGTCTTAGTTATTGGATTAGGCCCAACCACATCAGTGAGGGCCAGCTGCTTTACTCAGTGTACTGATTTTGATGTTAATCTCATCCAGAAACACCCTCACAGATACACCCAGAATAATATTTGATCAAATGCCTGGACATCCCATATCCCAGTCAAGTTAACCATAAAAGTAACCATCACAATATCTACCATAAATATCATGAGTGAATTGCTTACTCTATAAGTTAATGAGTTAATGCCAAAGAGCCACGACCTCTTCTCAGTGTGCATGCTTTACTTTCTAAAAAGTAAACTTTAGTTGTAAGTATTCGTGTAGTGCTTACTCTTTGTGAATTGTAATACCATTTATAGGGAGATGGTATTTGAGTAGACTTTGAAATTGGGTGTGACTGAATAGAAAAGGAATGTCAAGAATGGGGTAAGCAAAGGTATGGAAGAGGCAGAACATGAGGCAATAAGCAGGCAGCTTGTTTCCAGCAGAAACTACATGTGAGAGTTATGTGAAATAAGCTGGGGAGAGAATGTTTTCTCGCTTCATCAGCCCATTTACTTACCTAATACTAAATACATCTTATTTCACAGCTGTATTTCTAGTTGTAGGGAATATTAATAACCAAGATAGGCACAACCTCTGCCTTTGTGGAACTTTCTCACTGACAGAGCCCAAAATTTCAGAAATTGTTTTTTTGGGGGCAGCTGGGCAGGACAGAGATCAAACCCTGGACCTTGGTGTCATCAGCACTATAGTCTAACCAACTGAGCTAACTGGCCAGCCCCTCAGAAATTCTTTTAAACGAACAAATTTGGAGGTTGTATAAGTAAAAATGTTTCCTTAAATATTAACATCGATGCCTCCATTTCTTAAACTGTGGGCATATATGATGTTAATAAATCTGGAGGGAATGTGCTCTTCCTGAAACTGTGTTTTGTTTTCGAGTTTCATATCTCACCCATTTAACTTTCTAATGCTCAGGGTTTCTCGACATTTTATGACCTTAAGACACTATTTCGCATGGCTTACCTATTAACATTTGTCAGAACTCTAGTGGTTCTTCCATCACAATTTTGGAAATACTCCTTAATTAAGGACATTTTTATGAAGGTGAGGAACAAGAAAAGGATGCTTAGCATCAAAACTTTTGTATAACTTTGTATTATAAGTATTGAATAATGTAATAACACAAGAAAATTAAACTATAAATATTCTATTAGTTTTCTATTGATGCATAACAAATTACTATGAGCTTAGTGTCTTAAATCAGCACCCATGTGTTAGGTCACATCTCTGTAGGTCAGAAGTTTGACTCAGTGTGACTGGTTCTCTGCTCAGGTTCTCACACAGCTGAAATGAAGCATCTCCTGTGCTGAGTCCTGGGTAGAGGCTCTGGGGAGAAATCTGCTTCCAAGCTCATTCAGGTTGTTAGCAGAATTTAGTTTCTTGTGGTTTGCATTAGTTTTCTAGAGCTCCTGTAACAAAGTACCACAAACCAACTGGCTTAAAACAACAGAAATTTATTCTTTAACAGTTCAGGAGGCTAGAAGTCTGCAATGAAGGTGTTGGTGAGGTTGGTTCCTTTGGGAAGCTCTGAGGGAAAATCCCTTCCCTGCCTCTGTCCTAGCTTCTGA